TCCTTATGTATCAAGACATCTTCTCTCGTGTTCTTCTTGTATCACACAATTATCTTAAATATTAATCGAAAAAAGAGAAAAAGATAATTAGCCTTCAGTGTCAATGAATTTACGTCTCTCTTGCTCTATTTCGATTTAAAAAGCTGCAACGATACGCATATGGACATTCTCGCTTCTTTCGTACGACTCGACACAACGAAGTACACATCTTTCGTGAAATTTGTACTGAATTCTTTCTTCTAAACTTTCGTTTGTAAATGAATTTTAAAGTAACAAAATTAATAGGTTTTTTTGTAAGAAGATTTAGTAATTGAAGGTGTAGAGGAAATGAAGACGATTCAAAAGTGTTTATTTCTTTAATTGAACAATATAGTGTTCCAGTCTGTGTTTCTATTTTTTTTATCAATAAGTGTTTTTTTTTTTTTTTTTTATTTTCGCACGAAGAAAGATGAACCCTCTTCAGTGAAAAGAGTTGAATTTAAAACTATTGTGACCTCGTACATGAGTTTACCTTAAATTAGTGAAGATAATAGAAGGCTCAGTGTCGCTAAGTAATTTTCGTCAATCAGATTAACTGATTAGTAATGAACTGATTTGATTAGCAAACGATCGGAGAACAATCGATGAAAGTTCAATGTAATATTGAAGAACTTACATATATAGATACGTAGAAAGCGAACGGGAAGTTAGAGGATAATAAGTTTCTAGATTTCTATAACGTTTCAACGCAGAATACAGACGTAACAGTAGATAAATTTAATGGCATAAGCTCATTGCATGAGAGTTACAAAGTGCTTTTGCAAACACAATGGGAGATTAATAGTCACGTTGTAGGAGAGATTTTACGAAGGTTCTCTCGCGAACCACGTGTCTGGCTCATCTCTAATCTAATTATTATCGTTTCAAGCAATATACGGGTTATCGAGGAACATAAGGCATGATAATACAACATGAATATTCATTATGTTATCAAGTCTTCCCTTTGTAACAAGAGTAGGGCAAAATCGCTACATCCATCTCGATGTTAATAACATTGTTCGAATGAAATCGTATGACGTATATTATATTATAAACAAGTGCCAGATTTTGCAGATTTAACGTAACGTTAATGTAATGTTAACGTAATGTCAACGAATTATAAAATATTGCGCTTGTCTTCCAGATACAATGCCGATCTCAACAAAAAAACCGGGTCCCCTTGTCGGAGTAATTGATGTTGGCACGCGGACCGTTCGTTTTGTGGTGAGACATTGTTATAGTTGAATGTACGATGTTGATTCTACTTGAGTCGATTCTCACGTTAGATCCTATTACTGTCAACGTATATGTCGCTCACATATATATACAGTTGTTAACATTAATGACTTACTAACGTATATCTTTCTACGAAAGAAACATGAAATTGAATTATATTGCAGGTGTTCAATGCAAAGCATGTAGCTGAAGTGGCATCTCATCAAATCGACGTGGAACAAATAAGTCCGCAGGAAGGATGGGTGGAACAGGATCCAAAGGAGATCCTTTTTGCAGTAAAAGCGTGTATTAAAGATGTTATTCGGAAATTAGATGTGTTTGGGTTAAAGGTGGAGGATATAGTAACGATCGGTATTACAAATCAAAGAGAAACTACATTAGCATGGGACGCAACGACCGGTGAACCGTTACATAATGCGATAGGTTTGTCCTGACAATAATCGGATTGATCAAGTACAAAATATTTATAATGCTTATTAATGCTTCTGTTATTTCAGTGTGGTCCGATATAAGAACGAATTCCATCGTCGATCAGATAATAGCCAAGTTTCCGGATCAAAGTAAAAATCATATTAAACCATTATGTGGTTTACCAGTGAGCCCGTATTTTTCCGCGCTAAAAATTCGTTGGATGAAGGATAACGTGCCCACTATTAGGAAAGCAATGCGGGACAGGCGATGCAAAGTGGGCACAATGGATACCTGGGTCGTTTGGGTATGTGAGTACTGTGTGCTTGAATGTAGAATTTGTCTAGGATACGAAAACAATTATTGTGCCTTACAGCAAAAGGAATGAGTAGATGATGACATTCATGATCCAGAGAATTCATTGAAAAATGGTTACAGAACTTAACGGGTGGCAAAGACGGTGGATTGTATATTACTGACGTAACGAATGCATCAAGGACTATGTTAATGAACATAGAGACTCTTTCATGGGATCCCACGTTATGCAGATATTTCGACATTCCTATGCAAATATTGCCAGAGATTAAGAGCAGTTCTGAAATTTATGGAAATATTGCATTTGGTCCATTGAAGGGCATCACTATATCTGGTGTAAGTTACATTTCTATGTATACTTCTAAAATATTCTATATATATATCTACGTCAAATATATAATACCCTTGATATTTTTAGATTTTAGGAAATCAGCAATCAGCATTAGTCGGACAAAATTGTTTAAAGAAAGGACAAGCAAAAAACACCTATAGAAGTGGATGCTTTTTGCTATGTAATACGGGAACAACAGTATGTAATGTAAAAAATAATATGATTCGGCATAGTGTTTGATCAGAAATTATAAATTGTTACAATTTTTAGCGTGTGTATTCTTCTCATGGATTAGTTACAACGGTGGCATATCAGTTGGGTCCAAAAAGTCCAGCGGTTTATGCACTGGAAGGTTCAATTGCGGTAGCAGGTGCTGCTATTAAATGGTTACGAGATAATATGAAACTTATTAAGAATGTTCATGAAAGCGAACATTTGGCTCAAAGTGTTTTTAGTACCGGCGATGTATATTTTGTGCCAGCTTTTACAGGACTGTACGCTCCATATTGGAGAAAAGATGCGAGAGGGTAGAGATCAGTTTATGAGAACTTACTATAAGATCTTAGCATATATATTGCTTATTTAGACTTTTGTTTTTACAGAATTATTTGTGGTCTTACTGCATTTACAACGAAACAGCATATAATAAGAGCATCATTGGAAGCTGTTTGTTTCCAAACTAGAGATATTTTGGAAGCTATGTATAAAGATTGTGGTTTTCCATTGACCAAGTTAAACACAGATGGAAAAATGTCAACAAATAATCTTCTTATGCAACTGCAAGCAGATCTTTGCGGTACACCAGTATGTAAGTACTAGTTTCTTAAATGGTTTGAAAGACAAATAAATGTATTCATTAATGCTCATATATTTTAGTCAGATCAACAATGCCAGATATCACGGCGTTAGGTGCTGCAATGGCTGCAGGTCATGCAGAAGGTATAGGTGTTTGGGAATTAGAAGGTGAAGATATAGAAACAGTACTTAGTGATACATTTTTACCAACAACAACGCCAGAAGGTAAAAGATTTTCAAATTTAATGATGTGATATTTTATCTTTCATAAAATGCTGTTTTTATCTTTCATAAAATGCTGTTCTATATAGAAAGAGATGCTAGGTATAAAAAATGGAAGATGGCAGTTGAAAGAAGTTTAGGCTGGGCGGCAGTAAAGAAATCTGATCAAATGACAGGTAAACTTTATAATATTACGCAAGAATGTCAGAGTATATGTATTTATTCATAATCCAATTATTCGTAATTTATTTCATTATTAATTTTCTATCCGTTATCTGCATGCGCTTGTTGTAAATAAAAAGAGCCAGTATATTGATAGTAATGCGATTTCTTTATAAAATAGTAAAATTAAGTTTTTAATTTCTTTTATTAGGTTGTTTCATAATGATTTACTGTTTTGGGTGATATTTTACATATGAGTATATTTATATACGAGTGAAATTGTGTGAGAGGATATGATCAGTATTCAGAATTGAGTTTTAAATCAAAGCTCAATTATGTTTGATTTTTTAATGTTCCAGATGAAAGATATTACGTACTGGCATCCATCCCTGCAAGTTGGTTTTTAATGACAAGCTTCATTTTACTACGATTAAGCTACTATTTGAAAAATCGGTGACGACATTTATATTATTATAACAAAGGATCATTTAGATAACAGATAGCCTATATTGTATTGCAAATGCAAATAGGAATGTGGCCGTCAAGCCTTAATTCAAGTAGATCATTAGGCCATCAGTAATTAAAACACAAAAAAAAATAGTTCAAGAAACTGCTTCGATTCAATAGAACAACTAATATTTCGAACTTTGCAAAAAAAAATCTATATAGTTCGTTAAAACGCTCAAAGCAAAAAACTTTCAAGCCATTAACATTAAAGGATAATATTTCAAGGAAAAAAGTATTAGAAACAATGCACGTGCATGCAATGATTTAAAAAATTTCACTTATTCGTTATTTTTTAGTAACTGTTGATGCAAGATAACGTGGTATTTCGCGAAGCATTACTGCCAAGGGAATGGACAAAGAATTAAGTATAGTTTTGTATAATTTTATAGAATTGTAAACGTTTATAATATTTTAAGGATTTACAATTAATTAAATTTTTATAATTTAATCTATTCTCGTCGCTTTATTTTGTACGTTTAATCTATCTGTTATATTGAAAAAAATTGTCTATGTATAATGTTAAAGCTATTGTATTATAAAATCAACTATTGGAAATACACGTTCGTCTTGTTTTATTAATGCGTTCATTACTTCAATTTTGAACGGGATATTACATTTGCCCGAACAACTGGGCATGGTGGGGAAAAAGAAAAGAAGACGAGAGATGTAGAAACATCACTTGCCGATGTGTGTTTTAAATAGAGCGCGCTAAAGAAGCGCCACAAAGCGTCAAACGGATGCAAGTGAAACCATAATTAACGAGCTATGGGCACGCTTGGCCGTGTCAGTGTAGATTCGTTGTGGGTATCCGGTGTTGTCAGTACAGAGTAGAAAGAGTAGGATGCGGTATCGTGCAACGTTATGGTACATCTCGTGGTCGCGACTTCGTGAGAAGGTTGTCGAAGTAATGAACGTATTATTCCGTTGAGGGAAATGCAGTATATTGTATCACGCGAGTGCAGGACGGGCTAACCTAAAGAAAGGTGTTCGGTGGGTTTGGGGAAGGTGTAGTGTGAAAAGTGCGCGGGACTCACATCACGAGCGAACACCAAGGAGTCCCGGTGTCGTGGGATATGCAAGCACACGTCAAGATGTCGTCGGGAGGACATAGCAGTCGTACTCGAGCTGTACACATTGGTTCGATTTTCCAGAAGCTTCATGGTCGCTTTGCTGATCCCATGACACTGCCGAAACTTTCGACCGACAAGCGAATGTTGGATAAGACGTGGAAGCTTATGGACAAGGTGGTCAAGTTGTGTCAACATCAAAGAATGAATCTGAAAAATTCGCCGCCGTTTATCTTAGACATTCTACCGGACACGTATCAGCGATTGAGACTGATATATAGCAAATACGAAGACAGGATGCAGGTGTTACATAGCAACGAACACTTTTGTGTATTCATCAACAATCTTATGAGAAAGTGCAAGCAAGCAATCAAGTTGTTCAAGGAAGGGAAAGAGAAGATGTTCGACGAGACTTCGCATTATCGTAGGAATTTGACTAAACTCAGCCTTGTCTTTAGCCACATGCTGTCCGAATTGAAGGCCATTTTCCCAAACGGGGTGTTCGCCGGGCATAAATTCCGTATTACGAAGGCAGATGCGGCTGAGTTTTGGAAAGAGAGCTTTGGAATCAGGTAGGTATCATTCGACGATCCTTTTCCTTTTTTTCTCTTTCCCCTCCCCCCGCCCCCTCCTCTTTTGTTGTTTCGTTTTGTTTTGATGATATAAACAGGCCACCTGTCTCGTCGCGTGTGCTTTCCACTTTGACGTGCGTAAAAACGAATAATAAACGCGCGCTCTGTGACTCGCACGTGCGCACACCTAACCTAAAAACGGCCCTGCGTTTCATTGATATTGACATTAGTATCGTGTGCCGAAAATTAAGACGTGTCTGGACTGGTTTGCACCTGACGCCATTCGACGAATATATTTCGCCATCACCGGAAGTGTTCTTTTTCATATACGAACTCGTACAGAGGAAGAGCTATGTTCTCGTATCGTGACCTCGAATCGTGAAAATTACTTTACCTCTATTTCGACAATAATTTCGACGATGTTACGTTTTGCAGGCATTTCTTCTTTTTTCTTTTTGTTAACATTGCAAATAAATTACCGGAAATATAATAGGTGTGAATAAAATTTTTTTTAAAAGAATGACATCGATGTTGGCAAAGTACGTAAATCAGAGAGAGCATTATCGTATTATTTTTTCTTTGACTATACAAGGTGATCGAGGAAAGATGATTCTTCGTACTTGTCGCTTCCGATCTGAGATATCGGCTGTTTAAACAATGAAGCCGATAAACACGGTTGATTGATTCAGCTCGATACGTCGAGCAACAGTCACATCGCTGTATCGGCACACGATTACTTCCGGTACGATCAAAATTTCTATACTCTGTTGTAGGCTGTCGAACCGTGTAAACTGTCAGAACAAATTACGTTATCGAATCATTCATAGCTCATTGACAACGATCGAAGGTATTTTGCGACATGAATGAAGAGAAGAGGGAAGTGATTTGCAATGATTCGATATCTAGAGATATGTAATCGTGACGAAAGATAAACGAGGGAGAGAAAGAGAGACGGAGGAAACACGTATAAAGGTGGGAAGTCGGTGGAACGGGGCGGATCGATTGGTTAGATCCGTTTCCTGGTTACTATTCTTGGGGGGCCGGTGGTTTAGTATCGTTTTACAAAACTGATACACCTACTTCTACTGGAATACGTCATGACACAGTATCGGGAAGCGCGTGCCGTGCGCTCTGGGCTACGTGCCGCGTAGCGATTTATCAGCCGGTATAAATAAACGAGCAGCAGTTCGAGCCAATTCATGAATGACTGACTGCTATACGGTGTTGTGAGAGATCGTCACGATTTGTCAGGACACGAGACACACGAACGAATATAGCCTTTTGTCACACACGCTTGTTACCATGGATTTTGCACACTTTTACTAAAATACACATTCTCATTTCTTCTTTTTTTTCATTTGTAGAAAATTTAATTTATTTTTTTCCCGGCAGCATGTTTGAAATGAAGATTGCATATTATTTATTAGAACTATCATTGTAGAAGTTTTATAAATAATTGTACAAATTTATCATTTTATATCACTATAACAATCGAGTCCGTCAATATGATTGATTTCAAACTTTTGCTTTTTTACAAGTGCTTGAAGTGCTAAAAATGTGGATATTCTTGTCAAAATTAATGTTAATTTCTGTTTGGACAGAGACATAATTGTATAAATTTATTTATTTTAATTATCATTTAAATTATAATGATTTACATGCGTAGAATCATTCGGACACAGTTTTCCTAGTGTTAAAATCGATATTTTCATTTATTTATTTATATTTAATATTCTTGTTAATTGACCAAAATCAAGTATACGATACTCACCATAAAATAGTTGTCGTTTTATATTCATACACGTGTATACCAATTTTTAAATTATAATTTATCTTCCTCGAAGTTATATAATTTTGCCATATAATTTATTTATCAATCGATAGTAGCAGACCACGCGCAATTGTTTTACCTCATCGCGAAATTAGAAAATACGCAGCTGAAAATAGAACGAGAATTTTCCGAGAAACGATAAAATATTAATACTTTACGCGATGCGAATTCTGTTAAACATCATGTCAAAAGAAACCCAAAAAAAAAAAAAAAAAAAAGATTCTAACCGCGGGTATAGTTAGTACCTCTTCCGTTTTTCTCTTTCTCGGTTAATTTCTCGAAATTCAATTCCGTCATCCGTCACCCTTTCTCCCCTCGCATCCGTTCGTAGACGAAGCCTACGCGTCTTTTTTCCCCTCAAGGAGACTAAACAGGAGCTTTTAAAGAGCTTTTATCGGGGAAGCGTTCTTGTTTTGAACGTAGGATGCGGGCGATTGCAGTATGATTAACATGCGGCGAGCCGAGTCGATTACGCCGATGCGCGAACTTTCAGTTTCCGGTCAAATGATCCGCGGACATCCGGTGGCCCCTGGTATGTTACGCTCTTTACGCCGTTACGTTCTCTGCCTCTTTAATCGAGCAAAACCCACGGCTATTCCTGCGCATTTAATTCGGCGCCGATAAGATAAAATACGTAAATCATAATTTATCGCGAACCGGAAACAATATTTATCGTTATTACGACTGTACGAGATACCTTAGAAAATTATTCTAGTATCTCTCGGTGTTTTTCATCGACCTTTTCTCCACGTGTGTAATATGGACGTCATGTTCGAAGGAAGCAATTAACATAGAAAATCAAATGAACCTTTGCAAATGTCACTACTCGACATAACGCACGAAACAAGTGAATTTCTCGAGAAAAATAGATGCATCACGATACATTAACACTAGAACTACCACACCAGTCATTTTGACTGGTTTGACAACTTTATTTTAAAATTCCTACTTCATGTTACATTTTTTCTTCGCAATGATGTAATGACGTTTGCAGGGATAGCTAAAGGATTAATATAATAAACATTAATTTTGTTTTATTCATTTAAAATAAAAGTAATTATATTATTACATTATACTTCTTATAATTACCAATGGAAATTTATTTTAATGTTTTTGATGTCAAAGATTTTGCTATCAAGATACCAAATACTCTTCATTATTGTACTTATTGTTTTTATTATAATTGTTATTATATATAGTTTTTAAGATCTCAGAACATAGAGTTCCTTTTGTAAAATAATAATAAGTCAATAAATATAAAAATATTCTACTATTACGTCTTTTTTAAAGACCAGTCATTTTGACTGGTTTTGGTAGAGATAGCTACGTCTCAACTGTCGGTAGTTCTAGTGTTAAACAATACATTATACGACGATGCGAAATGATATTTCTGGACAAAATTTCACTCTGTTCCACAGTATCGTCCTTTTAATTTCAAATGCAGCATTTTCCTTTATTGGGAACATCGGCGCGCAATGGCACGGTAATGCATTCGAACGAATTGAAATCCACAGTTTTTCGCGCACGAACGTACGCCCCCCCCCCTCCCCCCTCCCCCCTCCGCTCGTTAATGGGTGTTTTTAATGACGAGCGTCACCGGAAACAGTGGCAAGGGGCGAGCTTTTATCGAAGAGGCGACCGAAGTCATCTATCCGTGACACAGAGAGAAGAGGAGACGGAACGATAGTAGTGGATTCGTTGTACCGGTCTGTAATCTATAGCTGCGAAGGATTGTACTTTGTTCTGGCGCTCGAGCTGGGGGGCGGAATCTTCTCCACTGTTCTTCTACCGCTATATATGTACACGTATAACGATATCCGGATGTGGGTTGGGAAAGCCATATGAGAAAAAAGTGGTGAAGCAGAATGGAATTCAACGAGGTTGAACATTCCGGTTTCTTCGTCTCCTACGATTATTTCATTAACGTGTCTCCGGTTCCCTTTTCCCTTTTTCCCCCTCTCCTCCCCCTCTGTTCGAAAATAATTGAGAGACGTGAGAGTCTCTCTGTCATCTCTCTTCACGGGAGCAAAGTGGCCGATATTCACGGTGATTTTCGCGTGCGTTGCATTTT